AACTTTGCTGAGTTGGTGGAAAAGCTTAAAGTCAATATTGAGGCCTGGAGGACACTGCCCTTATCAATGATTGGACGGGTAAAGGCGATCAAAATGGTTACTTTGCCCGGATTTTTGTACCTTTTTCAAAATTTACCCATTTACCTAAGTGCATCTTTTTAAAAAAATCTTGATTCTATTATATTGCCCTTTGTGTGGGGCTACAAAGCACACAGAATATCCAAAGCCCACATACATAAATCAACAGAAGAGGGTATCCCAGTTTTGAAACATTACTACTGGGCAGCTAACTCCAGAGCTCTTACCTATTGGAATTATGAAAACCCCTCGGATGAGAGACAAGAGAACATTCCCTCTTGGTTACAACTCGAAACATCACCTGTTGATAAAGTCTCTCTTTGTACATGGTTGTTTTCTTTTCCCACTCTGGATAAATCAACTCAGACAAATTTTGTGTTAAGGAACTCACTGCGAATTTTACGACAGATTAAAGTAGCCAATAGGATTCCTAGAGTCTACACATGCTCCCATCTGTCAAAACCCCTTATCCAAATCTGGGCAGCTCGATGGAGCGTTTGCAATATGGAAGAGGAAAGGTATTGCAACTTTGTCAAATCTGTATATTGAAGGGCATTTTGTATCATTTGGTCAACTATGTAATAAGTATGATATCCCAAACACATTTCTTTCGCTACCTTCAAATAAGGGATTTTGTAATACACAGGTTTGAGCATTTTGAATCTCTTCCATCCTCTCACCCTTTCTATGACAACTTATTGCTTGCTCCTGACTCCAAACATTTAATCTCAAAATTTGTAGACTGTTTCACCGTTCCTGTCTCCTCTGATTATCTTCGTGAAACCTGGGCAAAAGATTTACATGCAGATGTGCCAGTGGCGCTTTGGGAAAAAGCCATGAATCAGGTTCATTCTTGTTCCATTAATACCCACTACAAACCTATTCAGTATAAGGTAATTCACAGGCTGCACTACTCAAAGACACAACTGAGCCAGATCTTCCCATCAGTGTCCTCTCAGTGTGATAAATGCATGGAATAGTGCGCCCATCCTGCTTTGCGCACAGCAGCAACCATGTTACACACAGTATAGAGACCGGTTTTCATCAAACTCGATTTGACAGTTCTAGGTGAAAGGTTAACCAATCAGAAGCGTTGTCCCGCCCCCCAATGCCCCCTCCCCACCCTCTTACCCCCCTTGCTCCCCCTCCCACAACATGTGTAAAATCCATTCCCCTCAGTGGTCAAAAGTTCACCCCACAGGTTCTCATGCCCCCTTCCCAGCGTCCTGGCATGGGTGTACATTTGTTCTCCTCCTTTCCTGATGGCTGAATCTAAAAAATAAAAGACAAAGGGGTAATGATGCAGTATGTACCATTACAAAGAGTTAGACCAGAGTTGAGCTGATATTTAGCTTCAAAATGAGAAGACAACAGATGTCCTTGAATTAAGGTGTGAAACAGCTAGTTTGTAAAAAAGACATAGCCATTATGTAGGGTGAGATGAAAAAAAACACAAATTGGACATGGAGTTGGCCAGATATTTAGTTTCAAAGGATACCCATGGTCCAGAGGTATTTATTGGGGGGTGATCCTGTAAAAAATGGTTAAAACAGACCCCTAATAGCATATGTTTCTCATCAGGCTGGTTGTTTTCGTGACAGAGGTGCAAAGACCCTCGGGGCTAAATACTCAGACACAAGTCTTACACATAGTCAGTGCAGCTCTCCAAACTTCGAGATGAATCCAGGTACCCCTTGAAAAGAAAAAAGAGTAATATACTTTTATGTTATGTTTTACGAAAGCGTGTGTGTTAACCGAGATCATTTCATTCATTCATTCATATCAGAGTCAGCTTATCACGGTAGTAATGACATGAGCCCCGGAGAGCCGCTCGGTAAGTATTCTGCTACGTTTTTACAACTCCTTGTGTGTATACAGTGCCTTGCGAAAGTATTCGGCCCCCTTGAACTTTGCGACCTTTTGCCACATTTCAGGCTTCAAAACATAAAGATATAAAACTGTAATTTTTTGTGAAGAATCAACAACAAGTGGGACACAATCATGAAATGGAACAAAATTTATTGGATATTTCAAACTTTTTTAACAAATAAAAAACTGTAAAATTGGGCGTGCAAAATTATTCAGCCCCCTTAAGTTAATACTTTGTAGCGCCACCTTTTGCTGCGATTACAGCTGTAAGTCGCTTGGGGTATGTCTCTATCAGTTTTGCACATCGAGAGACTGAAATAAGTTCAAGGGGGCCGAATACTTTCGCAAGGCACTGTATATACATATATATATATATATATATATATAAGGATTCCAGAGCACAACCCAGGGCTCCCTCCTTCAGACATGCTGCTGGAGAAGAGAGCAGGCAAGAAGCACCCAGAAACCCAGAGCCTAATACATTTATCAGTTTTGGACTAACCCCTTACACAGATGAAGTCCGTCCAACAGACTCCATCTCTTATCTAGAGCACCACATGCTTGGAGCAGCTGTGTATTACCTAGTCATAACAAAATGAGGAAGCTCAATGTGTGTGTATGTTGTATGCGTGATACATCCATTCAGACATAATTCTTACATAATTCTTACACAAGATTAATACAAAAATAACTGGTGTCAAGGTACCC